GACCGCCCGGGCCCACCAATTCACGCATCTCGATACATGATGGCCGAGGACCGCAAATTGCAACAATTCGATATGAAAATGAAATGCACAAGTAAACACATGAGGCCTAAGAATCTATCATGTAGAATACAAGAGTGTCGGCGACCGGGAATTAAGGCCAAGTTTCATCACTTCGAGTAATGAAACATCCCTCTTTTCCCCATGTTTGTACTAACACCTATTCCAAAACACAAATGCAAAGCAAGCATGGCATGCACAATGCGCTCAAACATGCAACTCAATGCAAATACAACTTAAGACATGCAACATGCAAGGGAATAAGCATACAAACATGCAATTAACACAGCTAGCAATACACAATGCTATGAACTACATGGCAATACATAATGCTCATGACAACCTAGCTACACAATGCACAAATGGTTAACTAGCATACGCAATGCAATGAACATGGCATGCAAACAAATGCAATGATTAATACATGCGACAAAGGGTTTAAGCAAATAATCTCCAATATTGATCAAACTGAAAAACAAGTTTTGAAACTGTAAAATGTTACAGTTTCAAAGAAAAAATCTATTAAGCATTTATTTCTATTAATCAAACTAAAAACATGTTATGAAACTGCAAAATTTTACAGTTTTACACCATGATTCATTCTAGCACCAAAAAATTTTGAAACTGCAAAATTTTACAGTTTTAAACAATGATTCATTCTAGCACCAAAAAAATTTGAAACTGCAAAATTTTACAATTTTCACCGCTTGTGACTAAAACTCGAAAACAACTTGTTCAACTTGAGGCATGTTTCCAGGCATCAACCGCAGCAACCACTTGCTGGTCGGTTTCATCCTCTTTCAGGATAGGAGCATCTTCACGGAGGAAACGAGCCAGGTTCAGAGTTGTAAGATAGAACAACATTTTCTGTTGCCATCTTTTAAAGTCAGTTCCTAAGAACTTCTCTGGCTTTTCACCGTGATTTACCGGTACTGTTACAACAGGAGAGGGGGTTGGCGTCATTGCAGCCACCACAGTAGTACTTGTTTGGGCATTTGTTTCAGTAGCCATCAATTCTAATATATAAAACAAAATTATAATTAGAATTTATAGTACACAGAAAATTAAACTAAATTCACAGAATTAAATTCTGTAAAAATAAAAGAAACAAGAATGTAAGTTTTAGTTTCTAATTAATTTGAAAATAAAATAAAATTTTATTGAAACAAATTAATTCCACACGGAAAATTAAATTCTGTAAAATAAAAGAAATAAAAACTATAACTTTTATTTTTCAATTAATTTGGAAATAAAATAAAATTTTATTTAACCAAAATAATTCCACACAAGAAATTAAATTCCAGTAACACTTCAATAATTAAAATACTGAAACAGAATTTTTATTAATGAAAACTCAAAAAATAATTTCTAAAACCCAAAATTAATTTCTGAAAAAAAAAATTCCACAAAAATATATTCTAAATTGTTAATGACACCAGTATCGTACTGCTAGTTGTTGTCAAAGAAAAGAGACAATATATTACTACTATCTGTCAAATAGCATATAATCACTATTTGTTTTTCCAACCAGAATATTATTTTATAAATCCACAGAAAATATTTTTCTTCCGAAATTATTTACGAAGAATGAAAAAAGGAAAACAAACGAAAAATTCTGTAAACAGAATAATTCGGATCTGTCTTAAGATTGTTGGAACAATCTTCTGTGTACATAAAATAACTTGAAATAAATTCAAACAAAATAAATAAATAACATACCAGATTTATTTATCGAAACGAATTAAAATTAAAACCAAGTCGAGTGTGTGACACTCTGTCCTTAAGACAGATTCGCCCCGCTACGGTGCTTACGATTGAGTGGCGTCTATCTCCCAGGATACAATGATCTTCACAAAATTGTTGTAGCACTTCAACCAAATTTGTTTGGCGAACCAAACCTGTATTCTAACTCTCTGAATATTTATTCTTAAATCTAAAATGAAGAATAATGTACTAAAAGTAATTTGGACAGCCAAAAAAAGAACAAAATATGAGACTGTTTTTTCCGTATCCCAAAACTACTGGAACATATGTGTATTTATAGGCAAAATCAATAGACCCGAATAGGTATAAACAATGGTTCAACAGGTGCCACCTGATTTGAAATCATTTAAACAATGCAAAAAAGAATTCGTTAGAGACAAAACACTTTCTTTTTCAAATTGTTTACCGTTGGTGACCATGTCAAACCGGTTGAACCAATATTTATTTAAACTATTTCAAATATATATATATTAAAATAATTGAATATATATATATATATATTAAACTATATATATATATATATATTAAACTATTGAAATAGTTAAATAAATAAATGAAGAGGTAAAAATTTTAGGAAACTTCTTAGGAACCTAAAATTTTTAATTTAGAATTATATTAAATTCCCACAATGACAAACTTTAGGAAACCACTTAGGAATCCAAAATTTGAATTTTAGAATTAAATTAAATTCCCATAATAATTTTTTTTTATTGAAAAAATTCAAATGAATTTTATCTAAAAATTAATGTTAGACTCGAAAACGACATCAACTTCCCATTCACTCATAAATGGTTTTGACGTTCCGTTTTCACCATGTGACTTGCCACGCGACAAGGAACACTTCACCTCTTTGGACCTATCCCAAAAGACGTTTGGGACCCATTCAATTTTGGCCTTAAAGTTAGCCCAAAATAAGCCTTATAAAACACCATTTTTCCAACATTGCCATCATCGTTCAGCATCACGTCATAAGTTATATGTGTGCCACGCTTGCTGGTTCAACATCCAGTCTATACAACGGTCCGGCATGGTCCCTTTAAACTGTCCTGGCATTAGTTCCAGCTAGTTCCTACAATGGTTCGACACGACCATAAACTGTCTCTCGGCATTAGTTCTAGCTAGTTTCTATATTGGTCCAGCATGACCTTAAATTGTCTTGCCATTAGTTTCAGTCAGTTTCTACAATAGTCCGACACGACCAAAAACTGTCTCTCGGCATTAGTTCCAACCAATTTCTATATCAATCCGACACGATCTTAAATTGTCTTGCCATTAGTTTCAGTCAGTTTCTACAATGGTCCGACACAACCATAAACTGTCTCCCGGCATTAGTTCCGGCCTCTGATTTATTTCAAACGCCCTTACGCTCCCATTCAAATTTTGCAATCTATTTGCCTTTTATTTTATTTCATGTTTTAGTTTATCTCTCCAAACTCAATATGTTTATTCTCCTTGAATTTGAGGAGGGATGTTAATGTATATATGGTATATATTCTTACATATATTAGGTATTGATTTCCTAGATATATTAGGTATTGCCATAGTTAGGTCTCTTATAGGATATTCTTTCTCATAGTTAGATTTCTAGTAGAATACTCTTTCTCAGCCTATAGATACAGGCCTTCCATTCAATACAATACATAATATTTCATCTCTCTCTACTATTCTAACAATGACAAATTTTACTTTTAGCGTCAACAAATGTCATTTTGGACTTTGCCCAATGAAAGATGTTTTTAGTAACGATACTGTAAAAGCTCAAAGTAACTTGAATTGTGTCAGGCACAAGTATTGTGGCCGGTGTATTAGCGACAACATAGATCCATTTCCAGAGACTTTTAGCAACAATTTTTTGGTCTGACGGACAAAATTTTTTATACATAAATCACTTGTTTCTTATAATGAAATGAAAGTGATCCTGTAATTTCAAAGTTCACCATAATCGAGAGATAATCTGTTAAATCCCTAGGTGGTCAGTGTTAAATATAGGAATTAGAGTACATAAAATCTTTTTATTTTTAGTATTATATATATAACCTGTGATTGTGTCAATCACTGATTTAGTATTGTTTCATTATTTATATTGTTTTCTAAATTGTATCATGAATCTAGTATATATACATGGCCTCTACCTCATTTCTGAAAAAGCTAAATAATCATTTCCATTCTTTTTGGTATCAGAGCTAGGTTAAGTACCGAGTAATTTTGCTTTACCTATGGGCGGCAGTCTTGCCTTGGTCGCCCACCGGATCTTAACCCATTTCACTGTCATATTTTCTTTCAGTATCATGTCATGATGTTCTTTTCCTCTGTCTCGACATTGATTCCGATTAGTTCCTACAACGGTTCGGCATGACCTCGTAAATTGTCTCGACATTGATTCCGATTAGTTTCTACAACAGTCCGGTATAACCCCTTTAAACTAGCCCGACATTGATTCCGATCAATTTCTTCTAGGGCGGTTTTTTCACTTTTTAGGGTGTGATGCTGATATATTAAGCATTTTTTGGCCTTTTTTTTTTTTAGTGGACTACTAGATTTGTTTGGTAGCATTTATTTGGACTAACCGTTGAGTTTTTTTTCAGTTTCCTCCAGTTATCCATTGGCAAGCTGCGATTGTTAAATATCTTTACACTAGTTTGAGGGAGAGTGTTGAATATGAAAATTAGAGTATATAGAATCTTTTTATTTTTAGTATTATGTATATAATCTATGATTGTGTTAATTACTGATTTAGTATTGTTTCCTTATTTATATCTTTTTTTAAATTGTATGATGAATCTATTATATATACATGGTATCTATCTCATTCATAGAAAAATCAAATAATTCTTTCCATTTTTTTGCACTCTATCAGTAGTCAAGGAGAAAGATTTGAATATAATATGAAACTATTGCATAATTTTGTTGAAATTAGATAACAACCGGCTTCTCTTTTACCTACTGATTGTCATAAAACACTTCCAAATTGCGGCCACTACATCATCCATGTATATTTCAAATGGGGCAAACCAAGAAGAATTTAACTTTCTTTGTGGATTAATTCTTCTAATCCCTCATTTGGATTGATTTTGTGATCGATCCATATTTTCTTGGAAACCGATTGAGCATCCACACATTCAGAGAAAGCATGATGTAAATTTATTTAGTCACAAATGCATTAATTAGAGACAATGAAAAATCATCCTGTCAAATATTTATGTTTTATTTAATTATTATGCCAATCCCAAAAAGGGCTACATAGCTATAGATCACAAGCCAGTGCTTATCGTCCTTATTTCTTCTTTGTTGCTAACTTGGTTCCTGATGACTAAACAATGAATAAAAAAAATGTTAATCAGACAAAATGTTATAAATAAAAATAGCTAAGATTTGTCGAAGTAAATACTGTGTAAAAAAAAATAAAAAATAAAAATTATTTGTTTCCTAGAAGTGTGTGATGTTAGGGTGACAGAGATTATTTCTGCTAACAAATCTAATATCAGACTAACTGAAGGGGATCATTTTGCAACCCGATGATGAGTGCAAAGAATTAATTGCTACAATTAAAAAACAAAAAAGGAGTAACTTGAAATTCGGTGTTAAGTGTAATTTACTATGTAATACCTTTTTCTTAGGCTCTTGAGGTTTCGGCTCGACCTTCTTAGAAGAACCTTTGGAAGGCTCTTTCTTGGCCGGGGCGGTGGGTTGAGTACCAACAGGTTTCTCAGGCTTGAGTGATGCCATTGCTTCTCTCTTTCTCTCTCTTTCTCTCTCTCTCACCAAACAGATTGAAGCTTCTCTTACTTGCTGGCCTCAACTCTCAAAACTCATTCAAACACATCAATTTATAGTTTTCACTAATTAGTTTTCAAATCATTTCAAAGAACTAAAACCCATTTACACCACCACTAGGTAATGAACAGACGGTGATAATCAACTTGAGGGAATATAAAGAGAGAATAAAATGAACTGGAAGCCCTTTCAAAAGATGATGTGATATCAGATTCTTTGCTTACTGATAATGTTGACACTATTTTGATGCCTATTCTAAAGCATGTTCACATAGTTCCTTAGAAAAATAATTTTGGGATAGAATATGTAGGACTACATTAGATTTTGAGGACATTTCTTCGATACTTCACTTTGATTTAGCAGAGATATTAGGTGCGCTCGAGCATTTTTACCTAACGTCTAAGGCCTAATGACCCATAAGCCCCACAAGCTTTTAGTAAACAGTAATGCCAAGTATCATGAAAAGTCTTTCATGAAAATGATTATGGAAGATTTGTAACCTTTGGATTACACTTAAAATAAAGCACTACACACTAATCAAGGTAATCTAAAGGTCACAAATCTTTTATGATCATTTTCATGAAAGACTTTTCATGATCCCTAACATTTCTCTTTAGCAAAATTGTTTAGTGCACACTAGTAAAGGTTCCAAAAGGGGTTGCGGTAGTGCTAATAGTTGTAATGGAGTGGTTGTAGTTACGGGATGTAAAAGCCGTAACATAACGATTATGATAACTGGAATCATAAATTTTTTAATTTTTCGCACAGTTTGAAAACACTTAATTATAAGCATTTTTTTTTTTTTTAGAATCGCATTTATAAGGATTTAAAATAGATTTTAATCAATTTTTGTTAGTTTTTAAGTATGATGTAATATATTTCATATTTTTAAATCATCATAAAGAGAACTTTTTATATTTTATTTCAATAATTAATTATTTTAAGAATAATTGATTTTAAATATTTACAAAATCATTTTTGACCAATACATGAACTAACCAAATAAAAATATGAATCATTAAATGAAATGATTATAAAAATAAAAATTATTTTTGAGCTAATGATTTTTTATTTTAAAAGACATTTTTTTAAACTTTACAACTAACTAAATAAAATTATTTACAATTAAGTATTAAATAAAATGATTATAAAAATAAAAATTGTGCTATAAGCAAAAATTAGTTTTGAGTTACTGATTTTTTTTAAAGATATTTTTTAGACAAATATTACAGTAACAAAATAAAAAATATTTACAATTAAATATTAAATGAAATGATTATAAAAAGGATAAATTACACTGATACCCCCTGAGAATTATGTTTATTACAGTTTCCCTCCTCACCTTTTGGAAATTACATCTTCCCCCCTGAGGTTTAAATTTTCATTACAGATTCCCCCCTCAGCAATTTTATTTTTTTAAATACCAATTTTGTCCTCACTACGTAAATTACATTGACACCTCTCATATTTTAGAAATTACAATCCCCTCCCTAAGGTTTAAAGTAGCATTACCAATTGCTCCCTCGGTTAGTATTAGTTGGGAAAAAAATTCATTAAAAAAAATTAATTGGAAAAAAAAATTATTTGAAAAAAAAAATTAATTGAAAAAACAATTTGTTAGTAAAATTTTTAAATTTCTATTTAAAAACTAATGTAAGCACATTTTTTGAATTTACGTTTTTTTCTCAAATTTCCAAATTGAGATAACCATTTATAAACTAAAAAAATATCAAACAAGTTTTTATGACAGTTTTTAAAATTTTTGTAAATATAAATTGAAAACTAAAAAAGAAATGGTTACCAAATAGGCTTCAGATGGTAAAAATGTCATAAAATTAACAAATAATAAAATAAGTTACCAACGTAAGAAATGACTATTCAAAAAATTCTTAGGCTATGTATGGTTTGTTTTTTAGAAATTTTTCTTAAAAATTAAAAATTAATTTGGTTCAAAAATAAGAAATAAAAAATAATTATCATTTTTATATTATTTTTATCTTTCGAGTGGTTAGAAATATTTTTTTACAAATTAAATTGAAACAGCCATACGTATATATATAACCTGCCCAAAAGTTAAAATGATAATTATTTTTTACCCTTAAATGATAATTATTTTTTATTTTTTATTTCTTAACCAAATTAATTTTAAATTTTTTTAAAAAAAAATTCTAAAAATCAAACCATACAGAACCTAAGAATCTTTTGATAAGTCACTTCTTACGTTGGTAACTTATTTAATTATTTGTTAATTTTACGACATTTTTACCATCTGATGCCTGTTTGGTAACCATTTCGTTTTCAGTTTTCAATTTATATTTACAAAAATTTTAAAAACTGTCATAAAAACTTATTTGATAATTTTTTTGGTTTATAAATGGTTGTCTCAGTTTGTAAATTTGAGAAAAAAAGTAAATTCAAAAAATGAGTTTACGTTGGTTTTTAAACAAAAATTAAAAAATTTTACTAACAAATTTTTTTTTCAATTAATTTTTTTTCCAACTAATACTAACCGGGGGGTAATTGGTAATGCTACTTTAAACCTTAGGGAGGGGATTGTAATTTTTAAAATATGAGGGGTGTCAATGTAATTTACGTAGTGAGGGCAAAATTGGTATTTAAAAAAATTAAATTGCTGAGGGTGGAATTTGTAATGAAACTTTAAATCTCAGAGGGGAGATGTAATTTTCAAAAGGTGAGTGAGGGAATTGTAATAAACATAAACCTCAAGGGGTGTTGTGTAATTTATCCTTATAAAAATAAGGGCGAATTACACTAACAGTCCCTATAGTTTGGGGCTCGTGTCACATTGGTGCTTGACTTTTCAATTGTAATATATTTGACTTTAAATTTTGAATCTTATTCCAAATAAGGATAATTAAAGATACCATTGCTAAATTTAAAGGGCAAAATCATTAATTTGATAAAATATAAACTAATTTGACAAAAATAAATGCCATAAAAATATTTTAAAAATTTTAAAAATTATTTCTATTCACAAAAGATAAAATTATGAAAGATTGATAAATTTATAAGGCATTTATTTATTTATTTATTTTACCAAATTAATTTTTATTAGTATGTGTTTGGATGATGATCAAGTAATGGGTGATTATTAGGATTTTAATGTGTAATCGATAGATTTAATATATGAAATGCTTTTAATTTTGAATTGTTTGATTTAATGGATTGGTTTAATAATGAAATCAAAGTTGTCGCTATATTTGATTTTTGAAAAAATAGAAACTAATTTAATGAAAATAAAAATAACCACCCATTACATGATCATCATCCAAACATATAATAAAAATTAATTTGGTAAAATAAATAAATAAATGTCTAAAAGATTTATCAGTTTTATATAATTTTATCTTTAGTGAGTAGACATAATTTTTAAATTTTTATAAAAAAAATTTTGACATTTATTTTTGTCAAATTAGTTTATATTTTATCAAATTAATGATTTTACCCTTGAAATTAAGTAATGATATCTTCAATTGTTCTTATTTGGAACACGATTCAAAATGCATAATCAAATGTGTTACAATTGAAAAATCAGGACCAAAATGACATAAGCCCCAAACTATAAGGGTCATTAATGTAATTCGCCTTAAAAATAAGAGGGTTGCTATTAGCACATACCTCTTTACTTTGGCCCCCGCATTTCTTAGAACTCCCACCCAACAAAATGAAACCCCTCTCTTTTTTCTTTAAACCCCCACGTTAATACCAACTATACCCTTCATCTTTTTGACTTTCAACTTTTTTTCTGCAATTTTCCTTCCACCACTGGCAGTCCCACCCCTCCAGCGACCTCCCCAACCAGCGACCCCTTTCCTCTTCCTTTTTTTTTCCATATCTACTCTCTCTCTCTCTCTCTCTCTCTCTCCTCTTCTTCTTTTTAAGATATGGCTTCTCATTCTTCAAGGTGGCTATCACCATGTCTCCGACGCAAGCAGAAGGCAACAAATTCAGCCTCTCCTGGATACACTTCACTGATATGATGTACAGATTCTTCGCGCCCGTATTGTCCACACAGTCCATCGTCGTCCTTGGCTGTTACGCTTATACGTTTGATGAAGGACCTAGATGGGTTATCGTCAGAGTCACGGGATTTGCGAAAAACAGAGGAGAATCTAGAGAGATAAGCACTTGGGCTTTTTGATCTGGTTATGGTGGTGGAAGGTGGTGTTGGGGCATTTGAATTCATCGTTTTCGGCGACGGAGTTGGGTCGGAAAAAGTAGCAGTCGGTGGTGGTATTGGTGGCGAAGTCGCGAGAGGCAGTGGTGGTGGTGTCGGAGGAGGTACTGAAGGAGGAGAGAAATAGGGTGCGGACCATAGAGAGGCGGTGGGAGAGGTGGAGAGGAAGGAGTTGGCCTTTGTAGAAGAGCTCATCAGCGGGGCAAAGGTGGTGGTGGGTAGTGGTAGTAGTGGAGGAGGAGGAGGAAGAGGAGATGGTGGTGAAAAGGTTGGTGGGGTAGCGTTTGGAAAATTAGGATTAGGGTTAGGGTTTGAAAAATTAGGGTTAGAATGTTAAGGATGAGGGTAAAAATGTAACTTTATATTTGGACAAAATTGGAATTTAAAAAAAAATGAAGGGTCCAAAGAAAAAATATAGGTGCTAATAGCAACACTCAAAAATAAACCATTGTTTATACTCCATCCTTCCCAAAATATTAGTCTCTTATTCCATTTTTCATTGTCCCAAAATATTAATCCATTTTTCAAAAATTAATTACAAAAATAATAAAAATTTCCTATTTTACCCTTCTTTTAAATTTATTAACAACATAAAAAGTACAATTATGACATTAATATTTTCCAAAAAATGTACTATCAAAGGGTAATTTTGGAAAATTAACTTTTTTAAGTGCAAAATTGTACTACCAAAAAAAGTTAGATTCTCCAAAAGGGATCATTATTTTGTGACGAAGGGAATTTTACATGCTAACGTAATGAAATAAAAATTAAAAAAAAAAGGGTAAATTACACTGGCACCCCCTGATGTTTATATTTATTATAGTTTCCCTTCTCACCTTTTGGAAATTACATCTTCCCCCCTAGGGGTGTAATTTTGCCCCGCGGCCCGAGGTGGGCCCGGCCCGTTTAGGCCCGAACCCAAGCCCAGCCTAATGCCTTGAGCCAAGGCCTAGGCCATCGTTTTGAAGCCCATGGGCCCGACCCGTGGCCCACCCATGAGCCCTCTTAAGGCCCGCCCAAAAGGCCGGCTCGACGCCCAACCCGCCCGGTCCACCCGAGGCCCAGTATTTTTTTTAATGAAAAATAATAAAATTTTGGTAGAAAAAATTTTAAAAAATAAAAAAAATTAGTTTAAGCCCGCCCAAGCCTGCCCGAGCCCAGGCCCAAGCCCAAGGGCCCCGCTCACTGGGCCGCCCATAGCCCAAATGCCCCTGGGCCTGGGCCTAGTTTTTTGGCCCATGGGCCGGCCTGGCCAAGCCCAATTTTTTGGCGAGAGCCCGCAAAGCCCGACATGGGCCCAGCCCAGCCCGAGCCTGAATGGGTCAAGCCGAACCGGGCCAAAATTACACCCTTATCTCCCTTGAGATTTAAAGTTTCATTATAGATTCCCCCTCAGCAATTTAATTTTTTTAAATATCAATTTTGCCCTCACTGAGTAAATTACATTGACACCCCTCACATTTTAGAAATTACAATCCCCTCCCTAAGGTTTAAAGTAGCATTACCAATTGTCCCCTCGGTTAGTATTAGTTGGAAAAAAAATTAATTAAAAAAAATTAATTGAAAAAAAAAATTTGTTAGTAAAATTTTTAAATTTCTGTTTAAACACCAATGTAAGCACATTTTTTGAATTTAAGTTTTTTCCTCAAATTTACAAATTAAGACAACCATTTATAAACCAAAAAAATTATCAAACAAGTTTTTATGACAGTTTTTTAAATTTTTGTAAATATAAATTGAAAATTGAAAACGAAATGGTTACCAAACAGGCTTCAGATGGTAAAAATGTCATAAAATTAACAAATAATTAAATAAGTTACCAATGTAAGAAATGCTTATCAAAAGATTCTCAGGTTATGTATGGTTTGATTTTTAAAAATTTTTCTTAAAAATCAAAAATTAATTTGGTTAAGAAATAAGAAATAAAAAATAATTATCATTTTTATATTATTTTTATCTTTCGAGTGGTTAGAAATAATTTTTTACAAATTAAATTGAAACAGCCATACGTATATATATAACTTGCCCAAAAGTTAAAATGATAATTATTTTTTACCCTTAAATGATAATTTTTTTTTATTTTTTATTTCTTAACCAAATTAATTTTTAATTTTAAAAAAAAATACTAAAAATCAAACCATACATAACCTAAGAATTTTTTATAAGTCACTTCTTACGTTGGTAACTTATTTAATTATTTGTTAATTTTATGACATTTTTACTATCTGAGGCATGTTTGGTAACCATTTCGTTTTCAGTTTTCAATTTATATTTACAAAAATTTTAAAAACTGTCATAAAAACTTGTTTGACAATTTTTTTGGTTTATAAATGGTTATCTCAGTTTATATATTTGAGAAAAAAACATAAATTCAAAAAATGAGTTTACGTTGGTTTTTAAACAAAAATTTAAAAAATTTACTAACAAAAATTTTTTTCAATTAATTTTTTTTTCCAATAATTTTTTTTTCCAACTAATACTAACCGAGGGGGTAATTAGTAATGCTACTTTAAACCTTAGGGAGGGGATTGTAATTTCTAAAATGTGAGGGGTGTCAATGTAATTTACGCAGTGAGGAAAAAATTGATATTTAAAAAAATTAAATTACTGAGGGGGGAATCTGTAATGAAACTTTAAACCTCAAGGGGGAGATGTAATTTTCAAAAGGTGAGACGAGGAATTGTAATAAACATAAACATCAGGGGGTGTCAGTGTAATTGTAGACGCGCCCAAACGTCCTGAGAAAATCCCGTTTTGTTCATTAGGCTCACTACAGTTCGGACTCAAATGTCATGGTTCTGAATCTAACCTCGCAAGGTGCAATGCATGACCGATAAATCACTAAAGAGTCCAAATCCGGCAAATCGTTTTGAAAAACTGATTTTTATAAAGAAGTGCCAAACATGGATTGATTTGCCAGATACAGAGCCGCTACCTAAATATTTTATTTTGGGGAATTTAGGAAACCCTGACTCATGTCTAAGGCCACGTGTCCGTCATCACCAAAGTTACCTCGGCTCGGGAACTTGGGTACGAGAGGAGAAGGTCATGCAATGAGCACCCCCGCTCGTCCTATCAAAGATCGGCCTTTACTAACATGATATATTATTTTTGAAAGCACATGTGTTCTTATTCCGGTGTATTAATCTATCATTACTACGTGATGCACACAGGATACAAGCATAGACTAAACTGCCTCAGTTTGAACAAAACATCTCATGTTTGTTTCAAAATGGTTTGGAGTTGCTACTCGCAAGTAGGCTAAGACGTGGATTTGTCACCCTCAAGTGGGCTTAGAAAACATGATTTTGCCACTCTCAAGTGGGCTTTAAACTCGCATTTCAATGAATTGTTCCAATTCAAGCAATCTAACCTTCATCCACAGGCATTCATGCAGTTAATCACTTAAGCAGTTAGCCTTATGGCAAGCATGCTATCATGACAACACTCACATTCATGCACGATGCTAAAGCATAAACACTTACCGAGTACTCTTAGCCAAAACAGAAACTAGTTAGTAATCAATGCATGATCCTAGTTCATATTAAGATGGCTAATGCAACACATGCAAGAGCGCAACTAAGATAGGCTCGGCTATTCTAAAATGGCATGTGAAATGCAACAATTGATACATGCATTCAACTTGGTATTGAAATACAATGTAGTTAGTATGATGCGCCGAGCCCGGTGCATGCAAGACAGATGAATGAATGCAAACATGCGAAGCATAAGGATGCTAATTGAAACATGCCCTAAAACTAACCATCGTAAGCTGGTAAATAAAAGGGAGAAAGAAATGGGAGTTGGAAGACATGCATCACACACACGCACACTCATTACAACAGTTGTGCCCTCTTAACGGAGGGTCCGAATAAATAATACAGAATCGACTAATTAACTGACTATTCTAGCTAATTAATTATTACACAACCGAATTGAAACAAATACACATTCTAAGCTAACAAAAGTACTGAAATGGCCTCGTGACGAGGGATGTATGCATGCTCGAATTGTCTCGCTCGGAAATCCATTGCGATGCCCCGATTTGCCTCTGTTTGCAACTGGTCCCAGAACACTTCACAAAGCTTCAGAAGGCTGAAACTCCACCATGGGAACCTGTAGGGATGCTGCCGACCAGTTGTTGGCATTGGAAACCACCTGCCGACTACTTTTTATGCTGAAAACCAGAAAAAGTGGTCGGTCTGGTCGGCCGACCAGTTTTTGCTGCTGATTTTTGGTTTGCTGCAACAGAGAGCAAGAAAGGGGCATGGCAAAGTATTTGCAACACATGTATGCATAACCACCCTCCCTATCATTACGTAAGCTCAAGGGAGTATGGTTTTCGACCCCCGGGCCACCAATCACGCATCTCGATACATGATGGCCGAGGAGCCCAAATTGCACAATTCGATATGAAAATGAATGCACAAGTAAACACATGAGGCCTAGAACTCTATCATGTAGAATCAAGAGTGTCGGCGACCGGGAATTAAGGCACGTTTCATCACTTCGAGTATGAAACGTCCCTCTTTTCCCATGTTTGTACTAACACCTATTCCAAACACAAATGCAAAGCAAGCATGGCATGCACAATGCGACTCAAACATGCAACTCAATGCAATACAACTTAGACATGCAAACATGCAAGGGATAAGCATACAAACATGCAATTAACACACTAGCATACACAATGCTATGAACTACATGGCATACATAATGCTCATGACAACTAGCATACACAATGCAAATGGTAACTAGCATACGCAATGCAATGAACATGGCATGCACAAATGCAATGATTAATCATGCGACAACATGGCATACTCAATGCTATGAACTACATGGCATACACAATGCATAATGGACTTAAACTAAAATGGATAGGCCTCAGCCATGTCCAAATCAGTGGCCATACATGCTAAGATAGAAACTCAAAATGCTATACAAACACTCATGCATATTGGCCCAAGCTCAAGGCACAAAATACAACTCTCCAAGGGCATTGAAAGGATGAAACATGGAGTACAATGGCATATGCTCCAGCACTGAAATGGCATGCAAAATGACTTAGAATCATGTGAACAACCCATGTAATGCATGTTGAGAAGCTCAAGCGTCGAAGCTAGTGAAATGCATTACACTATAGGCATGCAAGACAATGCTCAAATGGCCAAACCAACCTTAAACAGCCCCTATGCAGGCCAAAACAGTAGCAAAGATGGGTTGAGATGATGGCTTGAAAGGCACGAAAAATGAGGCTCATGTAATGGCTCACAAATATGGCATAAAGGCACAACCCTCAAGAGGACTTAAGGAGTGGAAAATATGGAAGTATAACAACCCTACATGCTCTGAAATATCATTCACAATGATGCCAAAACATGCAAATACCTCAAGTTGAGTATGCAAGAGGCCTCGAAATTCAAAGCTAGTCAAGGCTATTACACTACAAGCATGCATGCCAAGCATCATTCGACCAAGAAGCCTCAAAACAGAACTAGAACAGCCCAAAATATGAACAAAATCATGCTGAAGCATAGCCAAAATATGCTAGAATAATAAGCCAAAACATCATGCAAACAAAGCTAATAAACAACATTTATACTACAAGCATATGAAGCATGCAAGAGGCTACCAAATCAGCCAAAAATAGAGTCATGATATGTCAAATAATGACCAAAAAACTACTAAAATGGAGCCAATACATACTAGAAAGACATGCTACCTTAATAAGCCAAAAATGGGATTACACTACACATACAAAAAGCAAACACAAGGTGACCAAACCAGTCATAGACAAAGCTAAGGCAGGCCCTAAAAGTCACAAAAAAAGTGCCTGAACCAAGCCTTGAAAGTATGAAGATGCATGCTCCTTTTATAGGCCAATAACTCAAGCAAACAAAACAAAAAGAGAGAGGGTCACCCCCCTCTGATTTAAGGTCTCAAAACCATATGCCTACCACTGAAAATCCACTAGATTTCAGTGGCTAGAAGGCCAAGAAAGGACTAGCTCAAAGGCCTTAAAGCATGGTACAAAAAAAAAAAATGCAAATAAGGCATGCAAGAGGGTAGAAGACCCTCGGCACCAAAAGGGCCTTAAACAAACATCAAAAACACTTAAATACAAGACTTTTTCTAGTTGAAAGCAAGGCCTAAATAAGCATGCAAATGGGACCAAGAGAGCAATCAAAACAAAGCTTAAAAGGGAGAAAAGAGGTTACCCTTGAAGCACTGCAAAACCAGCAGATTTCTCAGCCAATAACCAGCTTTTTAACCTCCAAAAATGTCCTCCGAGAACCTCAGTTCAATGATGGTGGTGTATGGTTAAGAGTTGTGGTGCAAAAGTGAAGAACAACACACTCTTTTGGCCCCAAATATAGAGATATAGAGGGAGATATATGCTTATGCCTTAGGGAAATTTCAGAACCTCTGGAATGGAGAGGGAGACTCTCTCTTGTAGAAAAACAAAAGTTAAAGTTTCTTAGAGAAGCTAAAACTTGGATGCAATCCCTCCATACACGTGTATGGAGGAAACAGTTTCTGCCCTCTAGCTAGCACAGCTTGCATCCACACAGTCTGCCAAAACAAGGGGAAAGCTGCCGACCACTTTAAGTGGCCATGGTCGGCCAGCCACTTTCAGTGGTCGGCCGACCACCACAATTGGTCTCCCAGGAAAGAAAGTGGTCGGCAGGGGAAAATGGTGGTCTCCACACCGAAAGCAAGCTAATGGTGTGGTGGGAGACCAGAAAAGGTGGCCCAAAGACCAAGAAAACCAGTTTCCGACCAGAGAACTGGCTGGCGAGAAGAAAAGTGGTCTCCAAGAGGAAAAATTGGTCTTCCACCCTCGTACCACCTTCCAAACAAGGAATACAAGATTTGTACCAAAAACAAACCAAAACGGATGCAAGACGAGAGTTTGGGAGACAGCGCGCAACCGGGAGCCTCGAAAACTAGCTGTCGAGCACCAAAAGTGGTACACGACCACAAAAGTGGTCTCCCAGACCACAGTGTCCCTCTAGGGAGAGAAAGCAAGGTGTGGTTCAAAAACCAAGCCAAACGAAGAACGTTAAGCGGTCCCGATACAAGGCGCACTGCCAAAGTCTCCAAAAACCAGAAACTAGCCTCCAAAAGGGAAAAGTGGCCTACGACTACGAAAAGTAGTTTACGACCACAAAGAGATGGTCTACAAGACCTTTCTCTCCCTCCGGGAAGGGAAACAAGGCTTGGTCCGCAAACCGAGCCGAAGCACAAAGAGTTCGGAGACCCGGAGGCAAGGCTCTCAGCCAAAACTCCGAAGCTCGAAACGAGCACAACACGCACTATCACCGAGCGCTCAATTGATGGCGTCTGAGTCTTAAGGTCGGTCAAAAATGGGGTGTCTACAGTAATTTACCCAAAAAATAAATTATAAAGAAAAAAAAAATTCATACAAAGTTATTTCTTTTGGTCTAGATCACTTTAGTGTTCATTCTTTCTTTGGAAGTTTTTTTTTTTTTGAAAAAAAAAAAAAAAAAACACTTATTAGAATATTGTAAAGGTTTGTAACGGGCCTTTATGTAATATTGAAACGGCCGTTATTCATATGAATTTTGGTCACACTGTAAAAACGGATATAACAAGTAGCGCCTATCACCGAAACCGTTACATAATACCACTTTTTAAAACCTTGGTGCACACAAAGTTACTCAAAAATTTACCCTTACCCATTACTTAAGGGGCGTTAGTAAAATTGCTTAGTGCACACAAACTCACCCAAAAATTTACCCTTACCCATTACTGGCGTTCTAGCGAAAATCCAGTTACAAAGAAAGAAAGCTGAACATTGATTTAGACATCAACTTCTACGTCATGTGTATTATTATGCCTCTATGTTTGGAAGAATAAGAGTGAATTTAGAGGTGATCTCAAGGAACTTCAATGGAAATTAGACAAGTTTGAGACTGTTTTCAAGATTAAAAAAAACAAAAGCAAAAGCAAAAACATAAACAAAAATTGAAAACAATAAGTGGGATGTGCAAACGATCCATGTAACAAATGTGTTGAACTGCTATTCAGTTGCAGTAGGAATGAAAGAAGTCATCATAGCATTGTGAGGATGATCAACGAATGTTCAAACGGATGATCAATATGATATATACGGATGATCAATATGATATATATTAGCAAAAGGCCATGAAGTAAAGGAGCTGAAAAAATATTTAAATGTTGACAAGTGAAAATAAAAGCATCTTACTCATGATTTGGAGCCTCGTAAACATAAAGAAAAGAATGTTGAAGCAAATTTCACAACAAATACCAATTCCGTTATAATATATGTTGGCTAATTTTTCTCCCATATTTGTTTACTTGCTTCCAAAACTTTTTTGTGTGCATCGTTTCTGCTCAATTGTGAAAATTTGATCGTCAAATTTGAACCTACATAGTGAAAATTTTAGGTATAAACCTGGACAAATCATTAACCCAACAACAGAACTTACCAGAGTTGCATGTATGACTGACATTTTTCAGACATTTCATAGATACTTACAATTGTTTAGGAACTATAACAACAGTCATTTAGTAATCAAAGAATTAACCAATCTTGCATTATATAGTTCAAATAATACTCTGTTCAGAAACAATAATTCAAATATAGACTTTGGACCAGTTTGACTTCACACAACTACTGCAATTTCAGTGACCAAAATTTTTCGAGTTCGACTTGTCTTAAAAGCTTTTAGTATAACCCTATAATGTAGAAATAAACTCAACAACCAAAGAATCCCAATTATATACTATTACTATTATATTCATTTATTAACTGTAACTTTCTGTCATATACTTATCCCTCAGGTAAGTGCTTGCGATGTTCAGCCCGTGTTCCTCATCCCAGCAGCAATCCCATTAATAGTAATAAGCAATGCATCTCTAAGTTTATGATTATCATCATCACGTCTTAATCTCCTCAATATCTCCACTTGCAACATATTGATGGGGTTGAGATAAGGAAGCCTGCTCTCAATCAATCTTTGCAAGCTCTTATTATTCTCTGATAGTTTCTCATGCCCTGAAACCACCAAAACATACTTCTCTGTCGTCAGAAGCTCTCTCCTCAGGTCAGCACCGAGCTCACGCCTACTCTGAGACACAAGAACTTCATCGTAATGCTTGGCTATGTTAATATCTGCTTTTCCCAAAACCATCTCTATAAGGTCTATGGTACATTGGAAAAAGGGCCATTCTTTGTACATTGCTTTTATGTCTTCGGTATGTCCCTTTTCACACACACCTTTTAAGCCCGCTCCAACTCCAAGCCAAGCAGGAAGGACAAATCTTGTTTGGGTCCAAGCAAATACCCACGGGATTGCACGAAGATGTCCAATTCCTACAGAGCTCTTTCTTCTCGTGGGACGGCTTCCTATGTTGAGGAAACCAAGCTCAGCTTGTGGCGTGGCTTCATGAAAGTAAGCAAGGAATTCGGGGTTTTCGTAGACTGTGCTTCGATAACATTGGCAACTGATTTTGGAGATCTCTTCCATCAGATTACGCCATTTTTCCTCTCTAGGTGGGAGCGGAGGGCGTAGGGTGGCAAGAAGCACAGCTGTCGTGTAGATTTCTAGTTGTCGAACAGCGGTCTGTGGTAGCCCAAACTTGGCTTGCACCATTTCTCCTTGTTCAGTTGAGCGAAGCGTACCCTATAATTCAAACAAAAATCCAATGCCAATATTAAATCATAGGTCAAAGTTCATTGTGAATATAAATCTGGTACAAATGTCAATCACTTGATATCTTGGTTTTAAGTATTGGATGCAAAACAAAAAACAAAAAAAAACTCTAGTGTTAATCAAACCTGTGTTACTGTGGACTGGTACTTACCCCTGAAACCACATGGAAGTTTTAAGATAACTTCAGCACCAAAGAATCAATTCAAGTTGTATGGAACATTTTTACTTATTATTCATGTTAGAAGTCTGTAACTTTAAACTTAAAAAAAGAGAGACAAAGTCTAAGAAACCCCGATACTTCTAGAGGAAGCAAGTATTGTCCAAACACATGTGTCCAACACCGAAACTCTTCGGACGCTCCTAAAAACGTGTCTGATACTTTTTCAAAGTGTTATAATTAACAAATCAAATTCAAAATATCGGATACTTTGCCGACACTACTTAACCCTCCGAACACATCCTATGTGATGAATCCCTTCATAATAACATTGGTATGCATACTTCATAACACAATTTATGAATTCTAAATGTCTTCAAACGTTTATAAGATTGATACATCATGTGTGTTATAATGTTCTGTAATCGCTTTGCTTTCTTTAGAATGTAACCATAAAATGAATGATATCTTGATATTTAAGTTATGAAATATATAATTTTTTAATGTAATCAGTGTTCTGTGACATATTTTAATATATACGTATCTGAGGTGTGTCGTGTCCCACATTTTTTTCAAAATCAATGTGTTGTGGTGTTCGTATAATGTCGAATGTCAAAATACTGAACATTTAAGCACAATAGGATATCCACATTTTCATTTGATGGAACATGAAAATGAACAACATCCAGGTGCAATAACAGCATGAATTGGACCAAACTTTTACTATAAGACATACTTATTATCTGGGAATAAGTTCTTATCAATCAAAACTGATATTTTAGGACGGTTTAATAAAAACTAGAAAGATAGCAATTATTTTCTTATTTTTTTTAATAAGTAAAAAGGATAAATAAGAACTAAGAGTCCCAATTGTGTAAATTAATTGATCATTTACCATAACAGAACCAGGCGGTTGCGATTGAATGGCAAGATATGTGGGGCCACCACCACGGCCAACACTCCCTCCACGACCATGGAAAAGTGTAACTTTGATACCGTACTCATTGCATGCTGCTACGACATCCTCTTGAGCTTTATAAAGCTCCCAAGCGGCAGTGAAGCGACCAGCATCTTTACCAGAATCAGAATATCCAACCATTACCTGTCAACAACTTGATAAGCTCAACATGTCTCATTTGGAAACTTTATTAAACTAATCTTGACGTGTTCGTCCGTGTAACTACCTCCTGATGACTGTTATGGTTCTTAATGACATGCTCTCGGTACCAATCAATTGACAATAATTTCCTGATCACTGAGCCAGCTCCTCTCAAGTCCTTCACTGTTTCAAACAGAGGAACCACCCGCAGCCTATTCCAAGGCATGAACATAATAATTTCATGAGAATCCCATTTTGCATATGCAAGCCAAAACATTTTTAAATGAAAAATCTTAATTTTTTCCAATGTGTGTGTGTGGTTGCTACCTTAATTCATTGATTGGAAAAAACAAAATTTTCAGATCTAGTAGAAATGGAACACAGCATATCTATATTAGAATACCAACAACAATCCGGTAAACAATTCAAGATGCATGTTAAACCACTTTGTTTGATTTAGTTTTCAAAAACTGTTTTCTGACTTCTTGTTTTTCATTTTTTTTCTTTTTTTTAAGTAAATTTGTTTATGTTGTAGTAAAAAAAATTTACTTTTAAATGCACCTACAAATTAAAGTATATGTAAATAAATCTGAAGAAAAAAAATATACAAAAAAACAAAGAAATGTGCTGCTTTTTTTGTTTTTTTTTGTGAACTTTTAAAGATTTCTTCACATATATTCTGTTTTTTAAATACATCTAGATTAGGTGCATCTATGAAATTTTTTTAAAAAAATTACTAAAATATGAAGAAGAAAAAGTTTTAGTAAATACAAAAAGACACAAAAAATAAGAAATCAGAAAATAATTTTTAAAAAACTATACCAAAGATCCATTAAAATTCCTGTCCAAATGTCCCCCAAGTGTAGTAGAAGCCATTAAAATTATAGAAATACCGGTTAGAGTTCAATAAAATTGTTTTGTGGTTGGATATGACAACATAGAAAGAAGAGATAGAATCGTACGTTCCACCAGGGCATGGTCTGCCTCGCTCCCCAGAAACAGCAAGACGAGCATGTTTCTGCAAAAGCTCCACGGTGAGGACATCACTCGCCTGCCAGTTAGCAAGTAGACACCACCATTATTGTTGATTGCACATATGGAACAGGAGTTTGAGAGATCAACAATGTTTTTGAGAAAATGCATGAGCACAATATCTAATTGTGAAAGCTCTCGCATGGAAGCATAAGATTTTGTACTATTAGTGACATACAGCTGAAGCCATGGAAATCACATATGCTCCTAGTGAATCACTTCCCAACTCAGCAGCAACACAGAAGGTGTCTAAGACTTCTTTAACTTCAGGAGGAACCTAAAATGTCCAATTAAGAGAAGATTAGGAATAAATAATTATATAAATTAACATACAGTAGAAAGAGATTAAAAAACTATAGCAATCAACCATTGTGACACTGCTGTTCAAAAAAAAAAAAAAACCATTGTGACACTGATTACTACATCCAACTCAGAAAACTGAGAGAAATGTACACGCTACATAATAATGAGTGATCATCTATTCAATGTTCAACTCATTAATTATGGAGTCTTTGATACTGTAATCATACTATGAAACTTGGTCTATTTGTAAATAATTGGAGGAAACTGTTAGGATTTTTATTCTAAGAAATTAATGAGCTATGTTTTGGCAAGCCCTCTTTTGACAAAACTTATTTTTGATTATTGATTCAAGTTGTTCTGATTTTATTATTTTATTTTGTCTTATCTTTTTCCTAATTTTCTAATCAATCTTTGTAGGAAATTCGTGTTTGATTTCATGCGAAACAGGTTGTTGTTCAAGACATAATATAAATGGAAAGAGGCTGAATTTATGGGCTTTGATTAAGAGCCCAATGCACGAAACTCCCACTTAAGCGAGATCTGGTGAAGAGTTGATATACATAGCCTTACCCCCGCAAGCGGGGAGGCTATTTTCCCAACTCGAACCCATGACCACCAGGTCACCAAGGGGTAACTTTACTGCTACACCAGGTCCGCCCTTCAGTTTATGGGTTTTGATTGGCATACATTTACTGATAGCACGTGGCTATGAAAGAGAAATTTGGTGGCTGATCAAGTGTGTCTCATCATGGTTTACTAGTTATGATTAACTTTGATAATTGTGCCTCAAGGATGACATAATATGGGTTGAGAAAAATATGAAAGATTTTGTTTGATATTGGTGGCAAACAACAGATGAACAGGATGCAATGTTGATGGGAAAGGAAATCTGAAAAAAAGTATTCCAAGTTGTCTTGAAATGGCAGAACATGGGTTGAAATCGTGGAAGAGAACAGCAAAATAGTCTGCAACAACAGCAGCAAAAAAGTTTGCAAAAACAGCTGTGGAAGCATGCTTCATAGCGCCCACAAGAAAGATATTCGCAGCCGCGATTTGGGAAAAAACAAAAATCATACTCCCAGTATTTTTTCTCTGTGCTCGTGAAGACAAGCTCGCGCCTGCGACATGGGTTGACCACGCCCGCAAACAATTGGACTGCGCCCGCGATGGAGAATTCTCTCAAGTATTTAAAGCAAGATCTGCTGAATTGTTTTGTAGCTCACATATCTTTTCTAAGAGTTCTCTCCTAAGCTTTTATGAATATTTCCAACCGTGAGAGGAATTATTTGTATGAGTGAGAATTATTTTTGATGGGACTTAAGGTTTGGTTTGGTTTGATTTAGTAAGAATTAATTTTGAGAGTGTTTTTTAGAGTGAAACTTTGCAGTGAGAATTATTTGTAATACTCTCATATTTGCTTGATGATTCATTAACATCTAGGAGCTTCAACTATAATCATCAAGTTGTAAAAAGTTCTTCACATCTTTTGAAGGTGAACCATTTTGGTGGATTCCAAGATTGTAGGCTTTGGTGAGTTCTGAAGTCATTGGCGTCGTGACAATTAGACAACTGGTATTGTGGAAACAGATAATCAGTGGAGACGGAGATGGAGCTACTTGTAGATTGAACAAACTTGTAAGCCTGGATTGGCTTTTGTAAGATATCTCTTGTACTTCTCTTTCTTCATAGTGGATTATTCGTCTGGACGAGGACCCGTGGTTTTTATCATAAGATTGTGGGATTTCAATTGTGATTTTCCACATAAAAACTCTTTTGTGTCATGGTTATTGGTGTTTACTCTCTTTACTCTATATTAATCATGGTTGCATAATTTTTATTGGATTGCCTAAATTAATAATCACTTTATCACAGGACATGTCTAGATTTTCCAAGGGAGTTTTTTTCAATAAATCTAGATTTTTCAGAAACATAGAACAGAGGTGAAACATGATGAACCCAAAGAACCTCACTTTTCAAAGGTAATGACTGCAGGAGGTTTTATACTGGATTTTCTTAATTCTTTCAAAAGATAACTCATGTATAAGATAATGACCCTGTGATGATAAGCCAGTTGGTGCACCTAACAGCTCAACTTTATCATCCCTAGGGGCAATCTCAACTTCTCTAAAGCCCATATTTGGTTATCTACAGGGTGAACTTCATACACATAAAGCAAACAACTAGGCACACATTAAACAAATATTTTATTACCTCACAAAGGGGTTAGAAGTATAACATGTCAGAGTTAGTGATCTTTTATATGAAAATATCAAATGATGACCTTACCTCTATAGTTGGAGGAATTAAAGGCCGCTTCCCTTTTAGCTCTCTCGTTAGGAATTCCAGTCTTTTTTCTTCATCCCACTCACTATATGTACCCATATCCAAGTATCTGGTAATTGCATCGAGCGTATCAGAGTGTCTACCAGATTCCTGGTACATTAGAAAAGTTCAAGTTAAAACAAATCAACCAAATGTGCTGCAGCCTAGAATCCAAAGCCAAAACACACCTGACGCAAGTCAAGCTTCATTAAATTCATCCCAAAGGTAGCCACTCGTCGAATTAAGTCAGCAAGCCGACCATCAGCTAGCACCCCCGCTCCACATGATTGCTACAAACATCGATAGTTCTAAATAAGTGTACATTAAATCACAAAGAAATTATGTTATGTTCTCTTTTTGTGTGTCAGTGTGTGTGGGTTTGGTGATTAGACAGTCAATTTCATACCAGAGATTCGTGGCACAGAAGTAGTGGTTCCATAAGTTGATCTGGTGTTTCATAGTAATCCCAAGGATCGTATTCACAAGGAAGGTCCTCAAGAAGAAGCTCTAGCCGCTTCCTCGTCTTTTCAAGCTGAACTAACAAGGAAATTACACAGTTTCACTTCTTGCCATAACAGAAAGAAATTTTTTTGGGTGGGTAACAGAAAAAAATTAATCAAACAAATAACAACATACAGAAGTTCAAAGGTGTTGTATCCCAATTATTTTAGGTGTCAGTACGAAGATAAAAATAAAATAAAATAAAACATATTCCATTCAACTAAAGCTCTGCCTTCAAAGAAATGTACTCTATTTCTATTTCTTTAGGAGACCACCTCCATCTCTCACTTCACATCAGCACCAGCATCATTCATTTGCAAAACCAGTAAATTTTGATAGGTATCTTCTAGTTTTAGCTTTCCTAGTCTTTCCACTCAACTATCTCAAAATCCACAAGCAAGTAAAAAATTTAGGTTGTGATTGGATTGCTGATTTGGGTAGGGGTTTAAAAAGGGAAAGGACAAGGCGAGGGAAATGGAGAAAAATTTTAGCCTATATTTCATTAACATTTCCCTCACGTTTTCGTTTCCCTCTTCAAATTCCTATCAAAATCCATGATCCAAATACAGCCTTTAAGCTTGAACCTTGAGGATATATTTTTCTTTGTTGCCTAATATTATGCTCCAGGAATAATATTGCTCAACTTTTCAACTCTTTCAGTTAAATGGAATATACCATTCACATAACACCATAATTTCCAAATCGCAATCAAGTTGTTCTGCATAAACCACATGAAAATTTCAGGTACAGACCAACACGTGTGACGGCAGTTTTCTCAAAAAATAAGGTGTTTCCATAATGCTAGGCAATGGAGCATACTAGCCTCAAACAGCAAAAGATGTAATGTACTAATAGAAGATTCACCATTGCAAATCTATTAAGTATTGTCACCACTCAAGTAGAGAAATGAATACCGTGTCTTTTATGTGCCCAAGAACAATTCTATATGGAGCAATTGTAGGTCGTTGAGCCAGGCTAGGCTCTAGAAGCTTCTGGAAGCTGGTCCTTCCTATTTGAGATTCGGCAAATAGTTTCCTCTGAGCAAGGAGTTGATTAGAGCTGAAAGAAGAAGAGCGGGGGATCACAGCTGATGGAGGACTACTAGAATTGGCCATGTTCCCGTCTGCAAACTTTTTGTGCAAACTTTGATTTGAATCCTGGAATGAAGATTCGCGTTTTGGACAACCCTTAACATCCTACAAAAAAAAAATTAAAAATAGTAAGAAGAAGAAAACATAACTATTAAAACTATCAAGGAAAATAATTGGTGCCATAAGAATATTAAAAAAATATCAAGTTGGTGAAACCAATTGCTCCACACAAATGTTACCTGTCCTGGAACTTGTTTCACCTGACGATTCAATGGCGAGTGATTTCTCCCTGGAAGTTCTACTCTAGGGTACTGAGATTCCCCATCCTGGCACGCTACATGAACACATAAATTTACAAATGGATCATACATAATGTTCATATCAGTAAGGCATTTTCATAACATGCTAGCTCATATAAACATTAACTGAAACATGAAAAGTAAAGGGCACATGACCAACATGGATGGAAAATGTTAGAAACAAGAACGTTGAGCCACTAGCAATTCATTTGAAACCCTAAGCCTACTTATCACTCAAACCATTGTAAACAAAGTCCATTTGGGGATTAATTTTAGTCATTAACTTAATTGAAAGAAGTTTAATACATATATATATTGGAACACATTAAGATTTCAAAAACGGAAATGTGAAATTCTGAATATCAAGTGTTTTGAGAAGCGATTGAAATAATGTAGTCACAAATTTCAAGATCGTTGTCAGACATTGGTCAAAAGTAATTCTGAGAATTAAATTCCCCTATGGTTTTCCACCGCATTACAAATTTTTTTTATTTGAAATACCAATTTTAACCCTAAATCTTCTCTCCCCATCTCTTACCCTCTACTAACAAAGTGACTTAAACAAGTGGTATAATCGACAACATCCAAAGTTCTAATTCATAGTTCTAAATTTTAGAATTTAAAAAAAGTAATAAAAACTTGTCAGATTTATTTAATTTTCTCCTCCTGAAATATTATTTTCACAACATTTATGCAAGATATTATTTTTGATTAGTCATATACTAAAACTAACTCAATTCAATTTTTTTATGCACACACCTTCCCTCTATACATAATTTCTGGTTCTGCCCCTAATCACCCACCCCCAACCCCAGCAGCCGTAGACAGCTTCCCACCTCCCACCCCCAATGGCACCTTCCCACTCCCAACAACCACCATCACCCATTCCCCCATGTAACTACAGCTGTGATGGTGGCACTACAGTGTATTCTTTGGAAAAGAAAGAAAAAAGACAATCAGTGATGGAAGATCATTCCCTACTAAGATCTACCAGTGTTTTGCATTACCCACCATCATCAACCACCGCCAGTCCCCTTCATCAACATGGTCACCTCCTTCTCCAAGCCCACCCCTTCTGTTTCCCTCTCTCCTTTTTACCTTATCTCTCTCCTCTTCCCCCTCTCTTCCCTCATTAGCCCCTCCACTACCATGGCCATTGTGCTTGCAAATCTTTTAACTGGTGAAGGGTATGAACAAATTGTTTGATGAAACTCCCAACTGAGTTTTAGGATTTATTCCGTGGTTGGGAGCTACAGGGGTTGGTGATAGTGGTGGTGATTGAGGTTTGGTCTTCCCTTCTCTATTTATCTAATCTTCCCCCTCTTTCTCAGTGCACAGATTTTGCATTTGGTAGTGTTTGTGGTGAAGTGGTGATAGAATTTGAGAGTTCATATACCAAAATGGGTTTGGTTGGTGGTGATTGTGGCGAGCATTGTTCTTGGGGTGATAGTTTGGTTGGAAGGGAGGACAAGGATGTGGGTGATGATGGGGAGGGAGGGTGTCAGTAATAGGTGGTTTTTGGTGGTGGTGGTGATGGTAGTAGGTGGAAGGTGATGATGGTCGAAGGTGGCTATAGGTGATGGTCGAAGGTGGTTATGGTGGCGGCTTCTTGTTCTAGTACATGCCAACGAAACTGATAAGAGAGACAAGGAGGATGGGGATGTTGATGGCAACCAAAGCCAGTGGATGCACTCATTGCTAGTTTTGGTTGGGAAGGAGGATGGTGGTGATTGGTGGTTTTTGGTGAGGTGTGCTGAGACGGGGAAGAGGAAGAAGAGGGAGATATGGTAAATTTATAACTCTCAGTTAAGGGTATTAAGCCCATTACACATTTTTCACTGTCTCTGTTAGAATTTCCCATCTTTACCTTCACCTACTCCACTACACACTCCACTTCACCTACCTCCACTTCACCACACACTCCATTCACTGTCTCTGTAAACAGAAACACTAACGAGGAGGTGAGTGTAATTTATGAAACATTAGGGGAATCTATATTAAAGGCATACTTCAGGGAGTTTCAATGTGATTTATCGTTTTAAAAATACAGCATTCAATAAGTCACTTATTTCTTGCATGTCTCAGATATAGATTATCCTCTTTAATGATAGATTATCAATTCCAATGCTAAATGAAAAAGGAACCAATGAAACACTTTAGCATAAATGTCATACATACTTTATTGGTCAAGTTTTCAAATACTGTCATTTTCAATGTAAAATTATAAATTTCAATGCTAGAGGAAAAAGGAGCGTGCATTTCAGAAGCAACATAGCAATAACTATTATATAGTCAACGTGGAATGGGCATGTATTCAAGGCATACTATGGCGATGCAGCATAAAGTCAACCTGGGGTTCCCTAGATGATATACAAACAAAAAGAAAGAAAATACAATCTTACATTGCAAGTATAAGAAATCTGTGAAAAAGTAAACTACCCACGGATGGAGAGCAGATGCCAAAATATATGTTTCACCTGTGCAAGAGGGTAGTCCAGCACCAGCTGGAAGCTGTGTAGGAAGGGCAGGCATTTGTTGGCTGGGAGGCTTCAATTGACTCCAGTTTTGTGGTTGGTTCCAATTCTCATGACGATCCTCAGCTGAAGTTTCTGGAGAGAAATTTGAAACATGGTCAAATCAAAGTATCAGCAAATTAAAATGGTACTTAGAACTTCATGAAATGTGAGAGAAGTCAATACACACTACAGATGAAGAGCTTACCATAATGATGTATCAATTTGAACCTAATAGCTGTTAACAATACATGTTCTAAAACAGAGAGTTTAACCTAAGCAACACAGAATATAAATGGACTTCACCATTTGGTGAAATTTACTAAATGTGAAGTTGGTGTAGACCAATTTTATCATACATCAATACTTTTTTCAAGGGCATATTCAATCAATAAAATTTCAAATTTAGAGAACTAGATGCCAAGGCTACCAAGCAAGGCAAACCTGTTTTCCTGAGAGACCATAAGAGCATACAAACAGGTAAACAAGGTCCTCGATCAAATTTAACAAGGTATCAAAACTTATGCACCAAGAAAGGTCAAATGAGTAATTTTCTTATTTTTGATGTTGCAAAATATTTCTTTCAAATGGCTCAAGACAAACATTAAAATTCTCAATAGGTTGTTCAAATATAAAATTCATCCAGGAACTATGCAACATATTGACCATTTTTCAAAGTCAAATTTCCAAGCATAACTGCACAAATTTGTAAGTTTATTGCCCATAATCTAAATGAAGAGAAAATATTAGCCTCTCAAAGTGTAGATGCTATAAATTCTGAATTGTAAAATCAATTTGCATGTCCAAGCACATGATTCTCACTGTCACATGAAAAAATCAATGCTCTTGCCAAAAACATCATAGAATTGTTTGATTTATTACATTATTTTATGGCATGGTTATCGAATTAATATGTAATGTTTGAATTCATATATTCACAATTTATCAACTATTTCACCATTCAGCCAGCTGGATTGTGACTCGTTAGTTCCTCATTTTCTCGTGCACCAAATAAATAAATAATATTCTATCATCAAGAGCTCAAAAATAGAAAGCATAAGCTGGTTAGAAGTGATCGGTTAACATAAAACAAAGACACAAGGAAGTAAGAGCAAGTGAGATCCATGAGCAGTCCAAGAGGGGAGCATGAAAGGAACTTGGACATGACCAACCTCTTTCTAAGATTTCGGTTGCTAGTCTTAACAATCTATCGTTGCAGCAGTTCATGGAAAGTTCAAATCTGAGGTTATCAATCTCCCGGATGTAGAGATCAATAGCCATCCACCTAGATAAAAGAGAAACATCTTTTGTGACCTGAGACAATAGAATCCAAACATTCAATGAGATTACGTACTTGATTGGATATTACATTGCATGAAAATAAAACTAAATTCAAAATAGTGTTATCAAAAGGTATGGACATACTATTATACTATATGTCAACCATAGGAATACAGTATAGTCAGTATTGACAACAATTAAATTGGCTAATTACATCAAGAAAATTAAAATCTCTTTCCACATGATCAGACAAATGATAACAAGACACACATGTTTGGTACCCTAAAAAGGTGAAGCAATGAAAAAAAAATTGGTGGTGCCATATAGCTTTGAAAAATGCCATGTAATCAGAATGTTGTCTATTGAATGTCTTATATGGGGTGATGTCGCTCATTTGGCTCCTATCACTATAACAACAACAAAAAAACAAAAACAAAACAAAAAAAAATCTATCATTGTGCATTTTAATCATTTTTATTTTTATTTTTATTTTTATTTTTTCTTAGGGCTAAGTTTGTTTAGGATGAAAGTGGTGGAATGGAAAGTGAGGGAAATGGGAGGAGAAAAAACCAATTCTAGAGTTTATTTAGCATGAAAATGGTGGAAGTTACAAGAAATTTAATTTTCTCGTACAACCCATGATAGCATGATAACTAAACTTTTAGTTTAAAAAAAAAATACAGGAAAATACAAGAAAATTTAAATTTGTTTATAAAAGTAGATACTTATAATTAGAATTCCTAATTTGTTTCTTTTTCCTTGCAAAATTTTCATCCTAATTAAATTCATATAAGAATATATATTTTCTTTTCTTTTTCCTTGCCTTGACTTCACTTCTACCATTTTCAGTTTCCACCATTTATTTCTTTCTAACCAAACGCAGCGTGGGGGTTGTGTCAAGGTATGTGAGCAGTATTATAAAGAATCCATACATCTCGAGTCACATCACTATTTTTTACCCTCATTATTACATTAAGTAAAACATCAGAAAATTCTACTGGATCCTTAACAACTGATCCTCTCTGATCAACTTCTTCTTTTCTAACACCAATCTCCGAAATCGACAGACTAGGATCAACATCACTACTTCCATCACCACCTATGCGTACATCAATCTCAGGCAAACTCAGACGACCTCTGCGTTCATGAATAACTAAACCACTTTCCCCAAAACCTCCTAACAACAAATCTTTTCGCCTCTCTGGTAAACCCACAAACATAGTCCGTGTCAGAATTGGAATGGCCTTGGTTGAAGCACAGTGCCAAACATCAACATTATCATTAGTATATTTTTTAGATAACATAATAATAGATGGGACCCTCATTTGCGAATCTTCTGGCATGTCACTCGTAAAATACTTCAAATACCCCTTCATTTTACAATACGTAATCCCCCTTTTAATATTAGAATTTTCAAGTCGATACTTCGCTATCCATGTTTGTCATTAATTGAATAATAACCATTCCCATAATACACTAATTCACACTGGCAATCCACGGGGAAAATAAAGTACGCCTGCAAACTGTCATTACCATCTAACCTCCTGTCATATACAATTACTCTGACCAACCCACTGCATTGGGTGTGCAAAAGGGAGAATATTTTATCAATATTTTATCAACCTTAATACTATTTTGTTTGTATCTCAACCTCAACTGAGAAAATAAATTAGGCAAAGCAAGTTCAATACAACTAAAATCACTTGCTAAAACACCTTCAACAACACCAGTTTTTATATCGTCCACCTCCATTCACCTGAACATTGCAAATAAAAATACATAAAATTAAAATTCTAAATAGTTTTAAAGTACATTTAACTCCTTAACGTAATTTTATATTCCTTTCCACTAACAGTAGCAGCCACTAAATATATGACACCCTTCTGAATACCTCCAACATTTCCCAACAACGTATCTTTGTAGTCCGTCCAAACATCATTTGGGAAAAACCGGTCCGCAACTTCTATCCCATGACGAACGTACACTTTGTCCCTGCCACCAATGAGCTTGAATCTCATTTTCTTTAGCATTCAAAACCTATCAGACTGGTTAGGATCAACAATCCAGGTCTCAGGATTACCCTCGCCAACTCCAATAAATATCTTGTCAGGTGTGAGGACGAAATCTGACGGATTATTATCATTTATGACGAAAAACAATACGTGGTGGACCACAGCTTCGTTTTTAGCATCTTGTCCCAATTGAACATTCTCAATTAATTTTATACCCTTAACCACGATATTGTCTGATTGACGGTCACATCTTTTATTACCCAACTCAATACCATTTAGCAATCTTGTCATAACTTTATTATCAAATTTAACATCCCTTAATTGTTCATCGTACAGTTACAACTTTCTTACTCCTCTCTTAGCCTTCTTAATATATCGGGGAATATTCTGAACGTACCGTCTGCGAACATATGCCGCCTTAAAAAGTACACGACCATGGTAACTATGCATATATCCACTCGTCGCCGATGTCCTTGACCTCTGGTACGCAATCCGATACTGACTGCTTACTACTCCTTCCATTTTTTATAAAACACTTCAAATCTTTTATCCTACAAATTTTACAGATTCTCTTACCTCTGCTAACCCTTCTGTTAAAACACCTTAGCTTTGATATTTTTTTCCCTCAACTCCTCGTACACCGGAACAAACTTCACCGAAACTGACCACCAACTCTCTTCCCAAAGTCCTATTTGCCACGTCAAAAAAAGATCTACACACATGTGAGTGAACTGCCCGTAATTCTCGAGATACTCTTCTAAGAAGTACAACATTATCTACCAATACAATCAACAAAAAAGAAAGACAGAAAATGAGGGACGAAACAATGTACCAGAAAACAACATCACCATAATAGCTATCCTACTGCAAAAGTATATTCCTCTCATCAAATGTTTTCTGGTACCAAATAAATAGCAAAACTGGCCCCCGTGTAAAGACAAAGATTCCTCATTCAAAATTCAAAAGCATAATTATTTTCCTGTCTTTGCTTTATGTCTATCATTCTAAAAACATCTTTACTTTACAACCGCGCAAACCACAAAAAACGCGACACGTGTATCACACTATCCGGCAAAGGAATCAAAAGTACTCACACCACTCACACCTGGGTCTGGGTGTGACTTCCTTTTAACCCCATCTATTCATGTGTCCATAAGTACAACAATGAACGGCCCAGATCAGCGTGCACGCCCGGGGGAGGAAGGGGGCGTTGGTAATATTAATGCAGCGCCCCCTAGTCACACCACTCACACTATTCACACCGGGTTTTTTAACTAATAGGGAGGCTTTGTACGACTGGTGTGAGTTCACTGTTTACTACTAGAAATTGCCTCGCCAAGCCTCATTCCGTTTCTATGCCAAGAATGTTTTCCTCACCTACTGCTTCTTTTTTTTTCTTTTTCTTCTCGTGTTCAACATACACCAACTACACCAAATGATAAAAGAGTGCATTTTCTATAAAATTGTTTGCCTCGTCCACAAATTGCATGCGTCATATTGACATTTATGCTTAAACTACTCTTCATAAGCATACAATAATATTATTGAATGGACATGCTACTCAACAAACCTAAAAAGTATTGGATTTACAAAATGTTTACTCCAGCAAATTATTTTCTCCCAAAATCCTGGAGAAATTTCATTCCATACAAGTTGGAATAATCAATTTATAAATAAACCCATGCTAGAAGCCTCACCTTTGATGTGACATTTGGATTTCCATCTCTGTCACCTCCCATCCAAGCTCCAAATTTAATTGGTGTGCATGTCAGCGGAAGTGGCCTCCCAGTATGCTGGTAGAAAGAAATGCAGAAATAAAATCATAGATGAAGAAGAAGAAGAAAGGTCATGGAAAAAATGCATTCATTAAGGTTGTGTTTGGATCATGGATTTGGATAGGGATTTGGAAAAGAAATCCAAATCAATGATCCAAGCACAGCCTCAAGGGTCTGGTAACTAAGGGTCTGGTAACTACAGATTGAAGACAAACCTTCTTAAGAGCATTACTGACACGACGTAAATAGTGAGGTACAGCTTTCCAAAGGGACTGCTCCACAATGTGTAAGCCTGAGAGAATAATATACAGGGTTTTTTCGAAGAACAAATTCATGAAAGCTTTAGTATATCCAAATTTCAAGTAGTTTACCAGCCTTAGCTTCATCTACAGGTGTAGGTTTGTGGCGTCTTAGTTCATCTGTTTGCCATATAGAAGTTATCTCTCTCACCTACAAAATCAAATGAAATACAGGTCATTTAAATCATTCAATACCATAATATCAACATTTTTAAACATCATTATTAAGAAACAAGGACCAGGTCTTCTATCAGCATTTCGCGATCTTCATGGCCAAGATCAGGTCGGTCATTAAACTCCAAAAGATGCTGCAATGAACGGGCAGGTTCATAATCAAAGTCAAAGCACTGACATGATAATTAAAGTTTCGAATTCTATATGTTAACAAAAAAAACATTTTAAGAACAATCAACAACTTACTGCAACTCTAATGTGTTTGTATTGTAAAGTACGTCGATTGATCTGTGTAGGATGTGCTGTCAAAACAATCTCAACCTCCTGAAGCAACAACAAACCAACATTATAAATACAAAAGGCCAAATCAAGTAACTTATTAAGCTATTTCACTGAAAATGTGAAATAATAAATAAAAAAAAATTAACAAAAGAAATAACAAGAGACCTGTTTGCAGACATTGTTGTAGAGCTCATCCGGGGAAACTCCACCATGGATCAGCTGATTGAAAATGTCATCACAAGATTTTGATAGATGTGCCACACTCCGTAACTTTCGTACTCTGCATGAAGGAATAGAAAACCAAATAAAATTTTCAACCAGGGAATGCAATATATATGTCAATCATGACTGCCAAAAAAAAATTATTATTATAAGTTATTCAGGATAAATTTGATTACAAAATATTTAATTATGACACAAGAACTATTAAAAGATATACGAAGAACAAAGTTATCTTTGACACAAGTTAGAATGCTAACGTACGTTAGATTAAATGCTGCATAAAAATGCATTCCAATTGCTCTAAAATGGAAACCAATTGAAATAAGAAACATAATGATTAATAGGGCTGGCGACATTCCAAACAAGGTAAGTGAATTGAAGTTACCTATGATGAGTCTCAGCAATACCCATCAAGGTGAGATAATGACTGAATGCTCGAACAATCGTCAAGGCCTCCTCCAATGTCATTTTAGACATTTCCGATGCGAGTTGCTTTTCAAGCAGCTCAGCCGTGTCCTCTATCCCCGCCAGCCTCATGTTACAAGCACTCTGAAAAACCATTAAGCCCATCAAAATGTTGTCTCAGCATGAGTCAATAACCATACTAAAATTCCTAAACCTCATGAATTGAAATCAGAAAAACCAAATTGACATATGAAGAAACACTTCGTAGAAGAATCCAAAATCAGGAAATCAAAAATGCTTAACCAAAATATATCAATAAGCTACATGTAAAATCAAAAATGGGGAAAATCTACTAATCTGGAGAAGTGAAAGAGTGAGAATATACTTGGAGACGATCCCATTACAAGCACTCTGAACCCGTAAAACCCCTAATCAAAATGTTCTATCAACCACTTCAAAATACATATATACAAACAGGTATATCCAAATGTATCTAAATGCAAGTATACAAAAGCCAAATTAAAAAATAAATAAAATAAAATAAAAAACGCAGCATCTTACAAACAATCATCAAGAAAACCAAAATGACATAAGCAAGGAATCATAATAAAAATCAAAAATTTATATATTGACAAAAATCTACATAATGAAACAGGTTATTTAAATAATTATTTTTATTTTCTATGAAAAGATATGTAAAAAGACCTGTCAAACGTTTGGTTGAAGAAAACAGAGGAAGTGAGAAACAGACCTGAGCGAGTACACGATTTCTTTCGAGTTTCTCCATGAATTTACACCCAGCTTCTCTCTGAATAACGTCTTTGAGAAGACTACCCAGAAGCCTACAGTCATCTTCAAAGCTCTGAAACGATATTTCCCCTACTATATCGTCCGTTATGTCCGTCATTTTCACCCAAACAGAGCACTAACGAACTATATCTATATGGGTTTGTCACTCTATATATGCATAGAAAGAGAGAGAGAGAGAGAGAGTGAGAGAGAGAGAGAGGGACTGTGTTTTCTGTTGGAGTGTGGGGTGGTAAGGTGTGGTGGGGTGTACGGTGGGAAAATGTGGGAGTGCATAAGTGTAGGAGTGACCAAGAATAGAGTGACACGTGTCAGTTACAGCGAAAACATGGGACGTTTTACTGGAAGGGGGAGAAGAGAAGAAAAAGTTAATCGCGGGAATCACTAGTCAGTCGATGCACAAAATAGGTTAGAATATTTTATTTTTTATTTTATTTTATTTTTTTACTATTTTCAGATCTTCCATCAAAACAGAGTGAAATGCACCGCTGTTCCCCTCTCTAAAAAAGTTTAATTTTTATTTTTATTTTCACATCTTGAACAAAATAATTTTTTTTCTTTCAAAGGGTTGTTTTAGTTTTTTTTCACACTTTCGTGGATGGATTACAGGGCACCAACCATTTAAGAGTATTTTTTATGAAATTAGATAAGATATAATTATTGATAAGATTTTGAGGAGATAAAATTATATTATGAAATTCCATGAAATGAAGGATATGATAGGATTAAAAAAATCATGTTTCAAGATCTCAAACTTTTTCAAATAATGTAAATATATATAGCATGTGTTTTGATTGGGTTTTAATTATACAATTATATATAGATTGTGTGTTATGTCCCTGCTATCAAGCAATGCCCTTAAAAGGTGTTTGGTTATGTGTTAGATGGGATTTATTTTTTTTTTAAAGGAAATAACCACACTTCAAAATTATTATATTTTCAACATATGATTACATTTTTAATTTCAAGTGACCATTTATCATCATCTACTAGCATAGCAAGGTGTGCCAATGTGACTATAATGAAATTGCATAGGTGAAATCATAAGCAACTTAAGGATAAATTGTATTTCTTACATGTACGTGGATAAATCAAAGTCATGCAAAATTGTTACAACTATCGTTAGAGCATGTCAAGAATATTCTGTTGTTCAAATTATGAAATTAATTAAATAGATTTATGAAGAAATCAAAATTATATATCAAAAACATATACTGATAATTACAACTAAATTTTAACAGAAATACACAAAACAATAAAATGATAAAGAAACCAAACCGAAACCTACACGGTAGCAGTTTTCTTAAAACAGATTTCGCCACCTCACAGGTCGAGTGCTTGAGGAATCCCGGCGTCTGTCTCCCAAGATACGACGGTCAAAAACCAGCTACAGCAGAAGCACTCTCTGTCTAGCTTAGCGAACAAAAACAATGGCAGCACTCTCTCACAGTAGGAACTTTCTGGCAAACTGACCAAAGAATGAAAGAAACAATTTCTGTGTTGGAGACTTGACAGGAGGGTCTCAATTTATACATGTATAGGGGAGAGAAGAGAAACCTCCAGCCTTTATGGCTGATCACTAATGCAGCATTAACCTCTACAATAAAGGTAGGAGTTACAAACCCCATTAATGCACTATTAAACTCTGCAATAAAGGCAGGAGTTACAAACCTCATTAATGCACTATTAAACTCTGCAATAAAGGCAGAAGTTACAAACCCCATTAACTCTTTCATGAAGCTAACTTCATAGGGCAATTTCTCATTCAATTTTCAATGGTTTTGGCTATACTATTTGTGGTGTAAAGATCTCATTGCAAAATATCTAAACCCACTTGGACCCAACACAATAGATGGTTAGGACCCACTTTAATATTTAATTAAAGTCACCAAAAAATTATTTTTTCCAACAATCCCCCACATGAATAAAAATTGACCGAAATACTCAACAAACGGACATCGTTCAACAATAATGACTCGAAGAGAGAGTGCAACGAACTAACCCCAACATCAGAGAAGGTAGCTTTTGGCTTTGAACCTCTCCCAGTGAAAACCTATCGAGTTTACTGGCTGATCAATGAATAAGACATCTTGAACTGCTCTGTCGTTTATGTAAACTGAGACAATAGATCTCACACGGGAATTACTCCTACCACCATTCTGTTCTTACTGGTGTGCCCTGTGTGGCCCTGGGCACTAGCCTGGTTCAGCGAGTGGTTTCAAAGAATCTTGTCCTGCCCAATTCTTCTAGAAGCGGCCCCATTTCACACTCACATAGGTGACTCTACTTGAGTATCTTGCTATACTCAACTCAACAGCTTAACACACTAGAGTCATTAAAAGCTCAGCTTAACCTCTACACTTGCAGGTATCACTGATAGAAGGAATGGCTGGAGGTTTAACCTCCTCAGTGACATACCACCGTTACACGCAATTAGGTTGTCTTATTGAACCTAGATCTTAGGATCTCCAGTCAACTAGATTGGGTTTCCATTCCGGTAACTTCCAAAGGCCTCAACCCCATTCCTTTTGACGACGTTTCAACTAACACTCGATTTAACTATTTGGTTAGCGGATCCGCAATGTTGTCCTTAGACTTTACATAGTCTATAGAGACAACTCCATTCGAGAGTAGTTGTCGTATGGAATTATGTCTACGACGGATATGTCTAGACTTTCCATTATACATATTACTCTGTGCCCTACCAATTGCAGATTGACTATCACAATGAATACAAATAGCTGGCACAGGTTTAGACCAACGTGGAATATCTTCAAAGAAATGGTGTAGCCATTCAGCTTATTCTGTTGCTTTATCTAAAGCAATAAACTCTGATTCCATCGTTGATCTAGATATACACGTTTGCTTGGAAGATTTTCAAGACACGGCTGCCCCACCAAGAGTGAACACATATCCACTAGTGGACTTTGAATCCTTTATATCTGATATCCAATTTGCATCACTATAGCCTTCAAGCACCGCTGGATATCGAGTATAATGCAGCCCATAATCCCATGTGTAGTGTAAATACCTTAACAACCGCACAATGCCCTTCCAATGAGAAGCATTGGGATTACTTGTGTATCTACTAAACCTGCTAACTGAGTAAGCTATACCTGGCCTAGTACAACTCATCAGATACATTAAACTTCCAATTACCCGAGAATATTCTAACTGGGAGACACTTTCTTTATTATTCTTGGTAAAATGTAGACTTAAGTCTACAGGTGTCGATGACACACTCGTATCTGATCCACTAAACTTCTCAAGTATCTTATCAACATAATGAGACTGAGATAGTACAATTCCGCCAGAGATTCTGGTAATCTTAATTCCTAGAATAACATTTGCAATGCCCATATCCTTCATGTCAAACTTAGAGTTTAACAACTTCTTGGTAGTTTTGATAATTTCATCGTTACTACCTATAATGAGCATATCATCAACATATAGACATAAAATGACAAAACCTCTGTCAGTGTCTTTGACATAAATATACTTGTCACATTTGTTAATTCTAAACCCATTTGACCACATTACGTTGTCAAACTTCTCATGCCATTGTTTAGGCGCTTGCTTCAAACCATACAAAGATTTGACAAGTTTACAGACTTTCTTGCTTTTCCCTGGAGCTTAAAACCCTTCAGGTTACTCCATGTAGATTTCTTCATTCAAATCCCCATTTAAGAAAGCTGTCTTTACATCCATCTGGCGTATTTCTGGATTACGCAATGCTACTATCGCAATCACCATGCGAATGGATGTTATCCTAGTTACAGGTGAGTACGTATCAAAGTAATCCAGGCCTTCTCGTTGCCTGTACCCTTTGATAACGAGCCTTGCCTTATACTTTTCAATTGACCCATCGACCTTCATCTTTCTTTTAAAAATCCATTTGCACCCTAAAGGCTTGCAACCTGGAGGTAAATCTACCAACTCCCAGGTGTGGTTCTGTAAGATGGAGTCAATCTCACTTTTGATTGCTTCTTTCCATACAGGACTCTCAGGAGAAGTCACAGCTTCGTGAAAAGTTTGAGGTTCGTTCTCAACCATATAAGTCAAGAAGTTTGGACCAAAAGATTTGGATATCCTAGCCCTTTTACTCCTTCTAGGCTCATCTAAAACCTCAATTTGATCATCACCTTGATCATCAATATGATCATCATCACTAGCAAGCTCATCAAATTGCTCCAAAGACCTTGGAACCCCTTCATGGGTTTGGCAAGGAAAAATGTCTTCAAGGAAACATGCATTCCTTGACTCCATGATGGTATTCCTGTGTATGTCTGGAATTTCAGACTTATGTACAAGAAACCGATATGCACTACTATTATGTGCATAACCAATGAATATGCAATCCACGGATTTCGGGCCTATCCCAACCCGTTTGGGTGTAAGAATTGCCACTTTTGCAAGACACCCCCACATTCGTAAGAATTTATAAAGGCTTAACGTCTTTCCATAACTCATACAGGATCTTGTCCACTTCGCTTCAACACAAGTTTCACACTTGTGTTTCGTCAGAACAACCTTGTCGAACTCAAAAACCATACGAAAACATGTTTATTGAGAAGAGACCTTGAGACAAGATTCTTACGAATGTTCGGAACATATAGGACTTCGTTCAAGGTTAGCTCCTTTCCTAACGTCAACTTCAGGACCATCTTTCCTTTCCCTTCAACAATTAAGGTAGCAGAGTTTTCCATAAATAACTTCTCACCGTTTGTAACCGGCTCGAAAGTTGTAAAGAGCTTCTTCTCGGAGCAGATGTGGCGTGTAGCCCCAGTATCAATCCACCATTCTCTTGGGTTTGAACCCACCAGATTCACCTCAAAGACAACGGCAGACAAGTGCATATCATCCTCCTCATGGGAGTGCTCTTGTAAATCTACCATATGAGCACGAGGTTTAGTCTTGAATGGCTTCTTCTGCTTGCGGCAGTCACTAGCCCAATGCCCTTCGCTACCACAGTTATAACACTTCCCAAAGAACCGATAACTTGGTTCCGGTGGCTTGTAAGCCGGCTTCTTTGCAACACCACCTCTAGGCCCCAACTTAGAGCCCTTGTTCACAGCGGGCTTCTTTCTTATCTCAGAAGATTTGCCATGCTAATTGACATTGGCTTTTATTGAGGAGGTACTCCCTCCTTTCTTTCTATTATCCTCCTCAACTGACATTTCCTTGCGCTTGTGCTTCAAGTAGTTCTTGAA